GTCACATAAAAAGGCACGTCTTCCTCTGCCCCACATAGTGTACAAAAACCTGTGTTCTATGGCTATGCAATGTGACATTAAAGATGGTATCGGCCTCCTCAGGGTCATTTTCAGTGTGAAGGATCCTTCCGGCATCCCCTCGTAAGGGCGTCCCTCCACATCCCATGCTTGCCGAGTGTACAGTCCCATAAAACCCCTGAACACATCTTGTAGGCTGTATGCTGTTGCCCCAAAAAGGCACATTCCTTACCTTCACCCAAGTAAAATACTTAGACACATCATGCAAGCATACTTCCGTGCCGAATTGATACTCATCCCCTTTCTTGAAATTCGTCGACGATGGTAGAGTAGAGTCAGCTCTCATGAACTTCCCCGAAGCCCTTTACATACCATTCAGTGCCACACCATACAGCTCTTCATTTTGGGGGATGCCATAACAGTCCCTGATAATGCTTGGCAGGAGAACGTTCATCGTGGTGCTGCTTAAAAATCCTCTAACCAGCTCAATGCAGACAGTATTTAAAGCCCGGGTTTATTCGGGTCCGCCATCTTTTGCTCTCTCCAGGTAATGCTATGTTTTCCTCACCAGGTGGCGTGCAAGAGAAACTGTAGAAGCGTCCTCTCTCCCCGCAGGTCGAGAGACGAATGCCAACCCCACCCCCTCCAACGTCCATTAACCCCACTCCATTTAATAATTCCCCCAAAATCCCCAAACAATACCCTGCCCCTCTAGGTTCCACATCCTTACGCCTTATCACACAATTCCAACACCACCAATTACAGCTACACCCGGCAAAACACGCAAATAATATACTAGGACATCTTTCACAAATTTATTTTTAATATGCACATCTCCCTCTGCCGGACCATACACACACACACCAAACTCATCTGTACCCCACCCCCACCCATCTACACGAATCACCCTCCCCTCCCCACCCTCACAATGCCCCACTACGAACGGGCTAGTTCCCTTACCAGGATGGCAACTCCTCCTTTCAACCTTTTCGCATGCTCCACATTTCAATTATAAAACCCCTTCAACTTTCAACCATAACCTGGTCTGTAGTTGTGTTCCTGCACGAACACCCCATCAACACTATTACGCACCAAATATTCACTAAAACCATACACACTTTCTCTCTGATCTCAATCCATTAATGTTCAATGTCATGCACTTGAAGCTTACAGAGTGGTTTTCCTTCTTGACCCTGGTACTGTCTTGCCACCAGATCATTTCGTGACACCTCGGTCCCTCTCCCCCCCTTTAGAAACGCTCTTAACCAACTCCTGCCCCTTAGGGCCGCTGTGTCCTCTCTGCATAACTTCCGCCCAGGACTTTTTGCCAGTGCGCTGAGCAGGCGTGATCACGTCCTCGGAGTCAGATAGCGCAGCAGCGCACTTCTGTGATGCTCCCTCTGCTTGCATCATGTCGTCTGTTACATTGTCCGGTGGACCTCCACCTCCACCGCTTGCATCAAAATATTCTTATCACACTGCGCAGACCGCAGATCCTGTTCCATGCCCTGATCCACAGCAGACCCAAGAACTAGGTCTGGACTCCCAACCTTCCCAATACTCTTGTCAGCCAATAACACATTTAAAGCCATGGCTAATGAGTCTTCCACATCGCTATCACTCGCAGTCGGGGTGTTCTCTACAAACACCTGAGCTGCGTTCAATGAAGGGGTGTCCCCCCCTCGTCACACCTGCTGTCTCCATCTCCTCCGCTCTCTCGACCTGTGTACGAATGGTATGAGGGACTGATTACCTCATCTTCTGTACATAGTTCTACTGTCTTCAAGTTATGTCCTAGAATTTGTATTGATAAAGCCACTGGATGGCGAAACGTCTACAATAAAGATACCCAGATGTTGCACATGTGTCTTACTCTCATCTTGTCGGTATTATATACCATTCGTACACAACTTGTCAGACACTGCAACATCATGGAATCTTAATTCTGAGGACATGTAAATAACCTTCACGACTACGACAACTACTACTACTACTAACCCATCTCTTTGGGAAGGACCTACTTCCACTGGGGAATCCCGCCTACCAGTGAATTTGCCCTCGTCTGCTTCACCTGACGTTACTATATAAGCGCCAGGATTCTTTCTTCTGCTTCAGAATCTCCACGACTATGGTGCTGTTCGCACCTACTCCTAGGTTGAGGGACTGATTACCTCATCTTCTGTACATAGTTCTACTGTCTTCAAGTTATGTCCTAGAATTTGTATTGATAAAGCCACTGGATGGCGAAACGTCTACAATAAAGATACCCAGATGTTGCACATGTGTCTTACTCTCACTCTCTCGACCTCCTCACTCCAGGACCCACCTTCTGTAGGCAGTCACATAAGGCAAATCTTGCTCCTCACCCTTCTCTACTGCTGTATGTCATTGCCGTTGTTCCATGTTGCCACGCCTCCTTCCACACAGAGCCGCTAGGTGATCATATGACCCACACAACCGACAGGTCCGGCGTTGCCCAGCATATGTCACAAACACCTGGGTCCGAAATTCTGGCAGCTCTACGTACGACGGAATAGGGTAACGTAACGTCATCTTCACAGAATACGTTCCTTTGAGTATCCCTGCATATGGCCCAGTAGCCCACTTCCCAACAGTGGCCATATGTACCGTACCATATTTGCCCATCGCAAGACGGATGTCAGAATCACCCGCCTCGAATGGCACATTTCTAATCTTAATCCATGTGTAATGGGAGAAACGCTGAAGTCGCAGGTCACAGCGGATTTAAAAACTGTCAAAGTAACCTCCTGGTACTTGTCTACCACCCCCTCTACACATTTTCCCAAAATTTAAACTTGACAAAGATCCTCTGTGCCTTTCAGCGCTATTCCACAATCTCCTCGTTGCAATACCATATTTTTGTATGATTTGGGAGGGTTAGCGGTCCTAGGTTTTCCGTCCAGCCCCCGGATAACTAACACAGCTGGTTTAGCGTTTTCCCTGGGCCCGCGCCATGCGTGAAAATATAAATGCCAAAAATCAAGCCCGGGGGAGCACAGTCTTTCTACTACTCAAAAGGGTTTAGTGACGAAATAGGTAGCTCGCCTGAAAACAGCAGGGGGGTGCAGAGCACAACCGCACTCTACCGTGGTCAGGGGCGAAAGTGTTGTGCTTTACGTAAATTTTGGCTGATTTTTTAAAGAAAATCTAGCCAGTTTTAGACGCATTCCTTTGGGGTCTGAGATTTTTGTATAGGGTTTATTGTAACTGTAATGGCGGTTTTTGGGTTTAACTGTTTTCTTTTTATGTTATTTGTATTTTGGTATATGTAAAGCTGTAATGTTAGGGATAATATGTAGATGTTCTAGTAGGATTATGATGTTAGGTTTTGGTTTATTGATTAATGAGAAGGCTGGAAGTAATTGTTACATTTTCTCGTATATATTCTTTTCAATTGTAATGAGCCTTTGTCATATGTCATGTTATATGTAAAATTTATATGTAAGTTAGGTTTTGAGTCATTGAATGTTTATATATGTCAGTTCATGACCTTTTACTGTGTTTATTTGTAGCCATGTTCTTGCCGTAAGTTATTGTTGTATGTTATACAGCTATATCTTGCGAGAAATATAGGTGCAATCCATTTGTGTTTACCTGGAGTTTACCTGGAGAGAGTTTCGGGGGTCAATGCCCCCGCGGCCCGGTCTGTGACCAGGCCTCCTGGTGGATCAGCGCCTGATCAACCAGGCTGTTGCTGCTGGCTGCACGCAAACCAACGTACGAGCCACAGCCCGGCTGATCAGGAACTGACTTTAGGTGCTTGTCCAGTGCCAGCTTGAAGACTGCCAGGGGTCTGTTGGTAATCCCCCTTATGTGTGCTGGGAGGCAGTTGAACAGTCTCTGGCCCCTGACACTTATTGTATGGTCTCTTAACGTGCTAGTGACACCCCTGCTTTTCATTGGGGGATGGTGCATCGTCTGCCAAGTCTTTTGCTTTCGTAGTGAGTGATTTTCGTGTGCAAGTTCGGTACTAGTCCCTCTAGGATTTTCCAGGTGTATATAATCATGTATCTCTCCCTCCTGCGTTCCAGGGAATACAGTTTAGAAACCTCAAGCGCTCCCAGTAATTGAGGTTGTTTTATCTCCGTTTTTGCGCGCCGTGAAAGTTCTCTGTACATTTTCTAGTCGGCAATTTCACCTGCCTTGAAAGGTGCTGTTAGAGTGCAGCAATATTCCAGCCTAGATAGAACAAGTGACCTGAAGAGTGTCATCATGGGCTTGGCCTCCCTAGTTTTGAAGGTTCTCATTATCCATCCTGTCATTTTTCTAGCAGATGCGATTGATACAATGTTATGGTCCTTGAAGGTGAGATCCTCCGACATAATCACTCCCAGGTCTTTGACGTTGGTGTTTCGCTCTATTTTGTGGCCAGAATTTGTTTTGTGTTGGGTTTCTTATGTCAATGGCCGAACCTTCAGGATTGAGATCCATACTGTTTCCTTTTATTTTTATTATTATGTATACTGTACTGGTTTTAAATAAAATATAAAAAAAAAAATTATCTTTAAATTATTAAGATACAATAGAATGGCTTAACGACAGATGATCGATGCCAACCACATCTAGCGGCGGTAAACAAAATTATTTGTATGAGAACTATACTGTAAATACCTGGGAAAACATTTCATAATTTACATAATAAGAAAAATATCACAATGTCAGTAGTATAAGTTAGGATAATAATAAAATAATAACAAGTAATAACGAAACAAAAACGATAATTCTAGCAATAACTTAACACAGGTGCTGTTGCAGTAATTGGTTAATTTTGGCTAATAAGCAGAAATTTTTGGGTAAATTAGATACTATATGGAAAGAATACTTTTATTATTATTATGCTCAAAAAGAAGCGCTAAACCACAAGGGCTATAAAGAACACTTTAATGTTTAAAATTATAAATCTAGTAAGCCTCTGTTATTGGTTGAGAGACTCAGGAGAGGGAGACCAATGATACATGAAGCTTCTCGTCTTGGTAACAACTGTAGAAGTGTGGGAGGTAATGAGGTAACCCGCAACTCTTATTGCTTCATTCTCCTGGTATCCTCTCAACCAAGAACTCCACCTAGACATAGCTAAGGTCAGTATACTTCAAATAAATACATTGGATGTTTTAAAGACTTAGATTTCCTTAAAATTTTATGATTCACTAATTTATTAATTGGTTTAACGAGTTTTAATATTTGTATTACTATACTTTTTATATAACGGCTGCCCCTCAAGGAAGGCTCCTTGACGCTGGTGAGGGGCTCTTGATCTAGGGAATTGGATCTGTGCTCCAGTTCCCTGAATTAAGCCTGAATGCCTTCCATCCCCCCATAGGCGCTGTATAATCCTACGGGTTTAGTGCTTCCCCCTTGATTATAATAATATATAACGGCTAGATTGTTAAATGAGACTAAATTAGCTTAGTCTAAACGACAATTTAAGAAAGCATATAAGTAAATTCTTTAAGTAAGTCTCGTGAGAACTATACTCTTGTATTTTAGAGTGCCAGTACCAGTCAAAAGAGGTTCCTTTGACGCTGGTGCAGCGCATTACATCCCTTGTGGCTTAGCGCTTTTTGTTAATTTGACGCTGGTGAGGGGCTCTTCATCTAGGGAATAGGACCAGTGCTCCAGTTCCCTGAAGTAAGCCTGTATACCTTAAATTCCCCCCCTCCTCCACAGGCTATGTGTAATCCTATGGGTTTTAAGCGTCCCAATTGTATACCCAGCTGGTTTGAGCAGCTTAAAACGCTTAGGAAAGGCTTTCGTAAACACTTAGTTTATGGTAATACTATAGAAAGAGGGAAAATTCCCATTTTAACTTCACCTAAATAGAAATTGCCTTACGCTGTAGCGTAAAATCAGGAACTTTAAAATTTCCTAGTTTTATTTTTCACCATCTTCCCAAATACTGATAAAACTTTCATACTAAATCATACCTGTCAAATTTTTCCTAGCCTTCTGTAAGCGAAGTAACCTAGACGTCACGTACAATTAAACTCGAATTTCTTCAGTAATTAACTTTTAATGTGTAATTTATTAACTTTCAATTGGTAAATTTTCTGTACTTCGTTGCAGATGGCTCCCCTCGTGCTTCTAGTCTTCGGATACATCGCTCTGGTAAGCTTCAACTTTATTTCTCCTTTTTAAGCTAATAAAATTTTGATTCTTGTTAACTTTCCGTGGAGACTGCCAACGCCTGCGAGTTGAATATATGCCAGTATAGTGAAAGGTAACATTGCCTGCAGGGGTAGGTTTGGCCACAGGCCAGTGTGGTCTCTAGGCCCAAAGATCCTGTCTAGTAATTTTGTCATGCCAAGTCATTTAGTCTTGTTGTAAACGTTGCATGGATGTACTGTCTTGTAAACTTCACATTCTGTAGGCATGTTCTACCTGTAATGGTGGACGTTGAACCTGCCAGGTATCCTGGGTAGTGAGATATTCACTGTTAGGGCTATCTGTAATGACTCGTGCTTTAACTAGATAAATTTTTAATAACCCCTTTTCGGGTTAGGGTACACAGCCAATGGAGAGGGAAGGTGGATTGACCAAGGGGATGACTCTGGCCATAAGGTGTAGCGGATGTTAGTCTTTTAGTTTGATCAGTATCAGGCACAACTGAAACATTTCTATTTAGTGTAGGGCGAGGGGTTTGAGTACCATAATGTTCAGTTCCCAACAGTTGTGGTCGGTGGCGTATTTAGGCAGTGTAGGAAGCTAGTTTGTCTTTACTCTTAATATATTGTAATTGCATGGTTTTTAAAACTTCAATTTTTAACTTTAATTTTACTATTGCAGATTCGGGGCCAAGCAGTTCCTACCTACGATCCTCATTTACCCATTCAGCTTCCAACGCAGTCTACCTCTACAGTCACCGAAAAGGTAAATCTGTACAAAAGTGCTACAGTTTCCCAAATAAAAGCTTAATACCTTCCATTCCGTCCCCCACCCCCTTCACAGGCTTTATAATCCTACGGGCATAACGCTTTAACATTGTAATACAAACATGCTCCATCTTTCTTATTGTATCATTCTCTTGCAGACTACTGTAACTCATACACTGAGGGAGACCACCACGTCAGACGTGTGGGTGACTGATCAAACAGTTGTCACATTGACAGTAACGCAAGCATCCACTCAATGGGACTTCTTGCCTCAACAGCCACAAACAGTAACCTCTGTCATGAGAATCACTTCCACACCGGTAGGAAGTGTACCATAGTAATTTTTGAAAAAGCACTAGTAACCTACATAAATAGGTTCCTAGCCTACAAATTTGATTACTATTAATCCTACTTGGTATAAACTTCATTCCACTTTTGCCATCAAATTTACAGCTGTAAAACTAACTTCCACTTGCAGGTAGTGGTAGTGACCGCTACAGCTGTAACCAACTCGGTGAGAACAGTGGTGTCAGTCTTCAGTCAGTTCGTCACTGTTACAGACACTGTAAAATACTGGCAAACAATAACTCACGTTGCAGTCTCTCACGAGGTACTTAAACTTTTTATTAAAGACCAGGGTGAGCTTGAGGTATGTTGAACACTTAACTAATTAAACCCTAATTTCCCCAGATTCAGACTGTTCCTGTTGTCACTACACAAGAACTACTACAAGAGATAATAACTACTGTTACACAGATTTTAACTACTACAGTTACTTCGACAACTGCTCGCTTCTATAATTGATTTCTTGCTTCTACTGGATGAAGACTTAAATCTGACGTTATTACTGTATTTAAATTAAATTTTGCACTGAACTCTTTTCACTTTCTCCTATTCTTGGATAGGAAAATTTTTCATAATGCTGAAAGTTACCTTAAAATTTCCTATTTAAGGTAGTGATCATAGACCTTGTCTCTAGTTAACCCTGACCTTCGTAGCAACTCTGTTTCACTGGACTGAGTGGCTTGCTTCAGAAAGGCACTAGAGGAAGGTTCCTTGATGTTGGTGAGGGTGCTCTATATAGGAAATTAAACAGGACTACCCTCCACATTCTTCCCCCCCCCCCCCAAGTGCTGGTATAATCCTACGGATTTGGCGCTTCCCCTTCATAATTTGATGGCTTAAATTCCAGGTTCATGCAAGTCTTAAAGATTCTGCATTGGAATATTAAAGATCTAAAGAGCATCTCTTCCCTTATCTTAAATCTAATGCATTAACCTCTTGTACAGTAGTTCTCTTCAATGGGAAGTGGCCTATCTGAAGCAGTGAGGTCTTGCTCTGAGGAATTAAACCTCTTGGTCTCCTTCCTCAGAACCTAATTACCCTCTTTTTTTTTTTTTTTTTTTTTCTTTCCATCCTATGGAGAGGGAGCATGGACACGGGGGTCGTCCCTCAGTTACTAAGAACAACAGACATAGCCCCACTCCACAAAGGGGGCAGTAAAGCAACAGCAAAGAACTACAGACCAATAGCACTAACATCCCATATCATAAAAATCTTTGAAAGGGTCCTAAGAAGCAAGATCACCACCCATCTAGAAACCCATCAGTTACACAACCCAGGGCAACATGGGTTTAGAACAGGTCGCTCCTGTCTGTCTCAACTACTGGATCACTACGACAAGGTCCTAAATGCACTAGAAGACAAAAAGAATGCAGATGTAATATATACAGACTTTGCAAAAGCCTTCGACAAGTGTGACCATGGCGTAATAGCGCACAAAATGCGCGCTAAAGGAATAACAGGAAAAGTCGGTCGATGGATCTATAATTTCCTCACTAACAGAACACAGAGAGTAGTCGTCAACAGAGTAAAGTCCGAGGCAGCTACGGTGAAAAGCTCTGTCCCACAAGGCACAGTACTAGCTCCCATCTTGTTCCTCATCCTCATATCCGACATAGACAAGGATGTCAGCCACAGCACCGTGTCTTCCTTTGCAGATGACACCCGAATCTGCATGACAGTGTCTTCCATTGCAGACACTGCAAGGCTCCAGGCGGACATCAACCAAATCTTTCAGTGGGCTGCAGAAAACAATATGAAGTTCAACGATGAGAAATTTCAATTACTCAGATATGGTAAACATGAGGAAATTAAATCTTCATCAGAGTACAAAACAAATTCTGGCCACAAAATAGAGCGAAACACCAACGTCAAAGACCTAGGAGTGATTATGTCGGAGATCTCACCTTCAAGGACCATAACATTGTATCAATCGCATCTGCTAGAAAAATGACAGGATGGATAATGAGAACCTTCAAAACTAGGGAGGCCAAGCCCATGATGACACTCTTCAGGTCACTTGTTCTATCTAGGCTGGAATATTGCTGCACTCTAACAGCACCTTTCAAGGCAGGTGAAATTGCCGACCTAGAAAATGTACAGAGAACTTTCACGGCGCGCATAACGGAGATAAAAACACCTCAATTACTGGAGCGCTTGAGGTTTCTAAACCTGTATTCCCTGGAACGCAGGAGGGAGAGATACATGATTATATACACCTGGAAAATCCTAGAGGACTAGTACCAAACTTGCACACGAAAATCACTCACTACGAAGCAAAAGACTTGGCAGACGATGCACCATCCCCCCAATGAAAAGCAGGGGTGTCACTAGCACGTTAAGAGACCATACAATAAGTGTCAGGGGCCCGAGACTGTTCAACTGCCTCCCAGCACACATAAGGGGGATTACCAACAGACCCCTGGCAGTCTTCAAGCTGGCACTGGACAAGCACCTAAAGTCAGTTCCTGATCAGCCGGGCTGTGGCTCGTACGTTGGTTTGCGTGCAGCCAGCAGCAACAGCCTGGTTGATCAGGCGCTGATCCACCAGGAGGCCTGGTCACAGACCGGGCCGCGGGGGCGTTGACCCCCGAAACTCTCTCCAGGTAAACTCCAGGTATCCCTTCCCCTCCCATCACTATCCCTCATACTGTTTTCAGACTGGGATCCTTTCCACTGGCACAATAATATCTAGGTAGGGGGGAAGGGTACAGTGGTCTAAAAAATTCTACGTCCATGATTTAGTTTGCCATGGAAACGGATCACCTGGGGATGTCCCCACTCCCTCTAAAGGTCTCGCGTGGCGGCTTTGGGTGTGTCGGGAAGCTGCCTTCGGGTTCTAGGGGGTGGTGTGCTCTGGCTGGTATCCAGCTGCTCTTCTATCCACTAAAGTGGCTCGGTAGACGAGAGGTTCTCGGATTGTTACACAAATAACCCGCACATAGAGGAGCCTATGACGAAGTTTTGGTCAACTTGGACCATTTACAAATCATTAACTTAATTGAATCGAGAGTACCCTGGTAAGACCCATATAGGTGGAAAGAGTTTGAGAGGATAATTTTAGAGGTAGGAAAAAAAAGCCAGAGCTAGACCCAGCTGTGTAGCAGTAAGAGGCTTGGTAGAGGGACTGGTTGCTGGGCAGTGCCGACTGTCAGAGATGGCACAATAGAGGACTGGGCTCGGCATTGGAGGCAACAAACATAATGGGTAGTGTCACAGCTAGTTTTCTAGTCTGCCTCTCGGAATAGCATGTGATGGAGAGGAAGGCATGATGGTCGGCGAGAAGAAACCATACGTAAAGGAGAGCAGGATGCCTATATATAGGCAGGTGGTAGTAGTGGAAGGTAGAAGACCTGCTAGTCAAATATGAAGTGGAGCACTGCAAGGGAGCTAGGTGCCCAGAGGGAGTCAAAGGTGGGGCAGTCGGCAAGGAGGGAAGATTAAGAGTTAAAGCAGTGACAATGTTGGAGGTAAATTCTAAGTTTGTCGAATTTACAGAGCACCCCTCCACGAGAAAGATCAGAGTGCCCGATCTGAGGACAGGAGAGCACTCTCAATCTTGGCATCGATAAGAAGGAAACCTAAATTTGGCTTGATGGAATATAATTTTGTTAGTCATATCGGAACAAGGGTGTTGCGAAGGCAGAGACTACAGCAAAAGTCGGTATGGGATAAATCTCAAACTGGGAGGTCATGTACCACTGCCTGCACAGCATATTCTGCCTGCTCATTGCCCTAAACATTATTTGGGACCCAGAAAATGTTTGCTAGAAATGCAGCCTCTTCAAGGGGAGGGGGGCTCCTTAGTATGAAGCAGCTATTGGTCTGAGGAATTAGACCTGTCGGTCTCCTTTCTCGGACCAAACCTAATTACCCCCCCCCCCACACCTTATCTTTTCCTTTCCTCTTTCCCACCCCTATTTTTGCCCCCTTTTTTTGGCCTTTGGGGTTTTCCCACAGGCATGCTAGTTCCTAGGTAGGGGAAAGGGTACTGGGGTCCATCCCATTCTGTTGCAATTCTTGGCAGTGGTGCAGTTTGCCGTGGAATCTAGATCGCCTGGGGATGTCCCGATCCCTCTGGTATCCCAGAGGGTGGCTTTGGGTCTCTTTCGGGCGACAGGTGCATCTCTGGAAGCCACCTTTCAGATTACAGGGGTGGTGGCCGAAGGAGGTATGTTTTGTAGTGGATATCCGGCTGCCCTCATTTGCCCAAGGTAGCTCGGCAGATGTGAGGTTGCTATCCTGGATTGCTGGTTTACTGGCATGAAGGGTAGGGTATGGCATGGGTTCAATGCTGCATCTGCACTACTTGCAGTGTTGAGGTCCTCTTGGGCATTTAGGGAGATTTCTGGCCCTTTCATTCCTCCTAAGAACTATCCCTCCCCAGTCTTTTTTTTTCTTAAAGTAACCTAACCATGGAGCACCAGATTCATGACACCACTACCTCTGGGCCCCTTATGGTTAACACACCCCGTTCTGACCTCGCCTAGTCTTTAGGCCAATCTTCAGACATTCCTAAGGCCCCTGTACGTCTTGCTGGTGCTGTTTAGTCACCAGCTTCAGGTGCCAGGATTTCGACACTCCATAGATTTGTTTGACCTCCACTCTGACTATGCTTCCGGCCTCTCCCTCTATGGTGCAGCAATTTTCGAATCTCCAGCCAGTCCCACTTCTGAACGTCAACGACATTCTCCTGATGTTAGTTACCTTCCCATTCTACTCGGGGGAAAGACAGACACGTCATGGATGCCCTCTCCAGTTTCGGACCACACAATGGACTAAATTCTTTACTTTAAGACTGACTTCTTCTGCCTTATCTTTCCGACCATAGTATTGGCAAAACGCTCCTCCAGTGTTGGTAGAGATTTCCTTTCGTGCTCTTAAGTGATACGCACATCAGTCCAGAATTCTACTCGAGCTCGTGATTTTTTTTCTTTTGCATATTGATACTATTCCTATCACTATGGAAAAAACATCATTCCCTCATTCTTGTAGTGGTACTCTTATTCTGCCCCCATACCATAGTCCAACAGAATTTCTAGACATGTGGCAATGACATTCTTGAGCAGCTGGAACTCCAATATCTCCCAAGTCTCAAGGTAGACACTTGTGTTCTTCCTGCCTGCGAGCAAAGACGAGACGATACCCTTGCAATATGGCTCATTTAACTTTTGACAGCCATGAATTCCCATCTGTTTGTTGCAGGACATTGGTTATAAGTTTGGAAGGTGATCCATACACCGAAAGTGTAGGAATTGCTGGCGATTTGGCCACCCAGCAAAATATTGCAAATCTATAGCCGAATGCCCAGTCTGTGGTGCCGATGACCATTCTTATACATCTTGCAGTTGAACTCCCTCTTGCCTTAATTCTCATGAGGCTCACCCTTCATACTCTCGCTGTTGCCAGGTCTACTTAAATGAGCGGAAAATTCGTTGCCTCAGAGGCAGGTCTCCCTTATGCTATCCTCTTCAAGGGGGGGCTCCTTGACGTGGTGAAGAGGCTCTTGGTCTGAGGAATTAGACCTGTCGGT